AGGAAGGCTTTAAACGAGATATATTAATTAAGGATTTTAATATTTAATGATGAAAAGCTCCGGAGTTGATTTTGGGTTACACTGACATGCAGATTCGTAGGAAATCGTTGATTTTCATCAACCCGAAAAGAGAAGGCTGCAACAATATATTTCAAGTTTTCTCTCCTGAGAGGATTGGTATAAACTTGCTATAAAATCACGGTGAGCGCATCAACAAAGTCTGAAATGCACTCCGAACTTCATAATCTGCGTAAGGAATTAACGTTTTTTTGAGCTTCCCGCTTCAAAAAAAATACTACGGCACAGGTGAACATCTCGTTAGAGGAGTCGTTCCTTTCAACCTCTGAGCAGTAGGATACTGCACAATATTCAACATGCCGACGCCGATCCGCCAAAACTGGCCAACGCCAATCCGCCAAAACTGGCCAAAACTCATGTGCCGGGACAAAATTCTAGCCATTTGTTAATAGCCTGACATGTTTACATCAACGTTTTCCGCTCGTTGATAAAGATCCGTCTTGATAACGTCGGTTATGCTGAATATTGCAAAACATTCTAGTACGCAAGGGTTGAATAGAACGACTCCTCCGACGACACATTCACCTGTGCCGTAGTATCGTTCTTCAAGCAGGAAGCTCAAAGAAACGCAAATTTCTTACGCAGGTTGTGAAGTTATGAGTGTATTTCAGACTTTGTTGATGCGCCCACCGTGATTTTTGAGCCATTTTCAATGAGAAACATCTCTTATTTTTGCTCCAGCAAAAGTTTGCAACAGGCCCATTATGACACTCTACAGATCAAAGAGAGCCAGTTCAGTTGGACTGGGGTCAATTTGTGCACTGTTTCATTCCGTAGAGTGTGTTTCCAACCATTTTTTACATAAGTGAGTACGAAAGAGAACAGGCAAAATTGGAATATTTATCTCATGCCAGAGATCAGAAGGAGAAATCAAAACAAGCGGGAAAGTTCTAATACTGTCGTATTAGAAAAGCGCTCAGGTGTTAGTAAATGTATTTAGTGAAGAAAGGAAGTATAAACTCTGTCGACTGCGTCGACTTGGCTGGGAAATGGAAATAAAACATCAGCTGATAGCAAACAAAGGTTACCAAGGAAACCGTAAGCGCGTTTTTTCGTTTCCCGAAAATGATAGCCACCGTTGAGCTCATCAGGCGCGTTTTTNAAAGTTAATGTAATGCAAAATGATTCAAAATGTAGTTGTCTTTGCTTATCGTAACGAGAACTTTACCCAAATGCACTATTGCGACTTTTTTACATATTTTTAAGGCTAATCGTCTGCAATTTTTGAGAAAAATTATCTCAGATGTAGTAAGGTTGGCAGCAAGTGCGGTTGGTGATAACCGTCAAAAGTTGGCAATGACCCCCCTCCCATCATCAAAAACCAAAACAAAGCACCGCCATTTTTGGGTCCTAAGCCTCTCCATGGGACCCAGTGGCCATACTCTCTCAATATAGGTACTCTAATTAGCACTAGTATACTAGTATTCTAGAGGCAAGTCGAAATCAAAAAGCGCTGCCTATCGGCTGAGCGCTTAAAAGGTTGATAAGAAGAGAGTGAGCCCGCGTCAAGTTGGAAAGAGTTCTGGAAAGGTTTCCCGGATCCACCGCCAGACGGAGCAATGTATGCAAAGAAAACGCTGTGCATCTAACTATGTAATTGAGCCCAAATGGACCTCATGCGGAAAAACGGGAGCCAGCTCACGTATTGGTTGCCAGATATTTATTGGCAAAGTTGAGCTTTCTTGTAGAACTGACGTGTCGCAACTTTTATTCCGCCCTCAATTTTCCCCCGTCTCTTTTGGCCAGACGTTCCCGTCCTGAAAAATAAAGGTGTGTTTGATACAAGAAGAGTATTCATTATCCTCGCATTCACTTTTTCTTGTAGTTATTATGAATGCGAGAGTCAGCGATTTCTCGTTCTCAATCTTCAGGTTTTTGGAGATTTTGGCTGGTTTTTGTGTTCAATGACACAAGACAAAACCGTCTAAGCGTTAAAGATATCGTGTTTTCATTAAAAAAAAAAAAAAATTAAACTATTTTGCCAGGCAAAAAAGGCAAAATCGAACATTGCAGACTTATCTGCATTTGACTTTTTTTCTTATCTCCCTCGAGTTTGATTTTTCAATCAACATAGACTTCAAGGGTATTTTTAAGTTAAAGGTTAAGTTAAGTTGAAGGTTAAGTTAATTTGAAGGTTAAGTTAAGTTGAAGGTTAAGTTAAGTGGAGGGTAATATTACCACATGTTCCTGTTTATTGATGCTAAAACATACGTCTTGCAATTTTACTGTATTAATGCTTCGAATTTTCCTTACTGTAACGATTATTCGTTTTCAAGTTTTAAATTCTTCTTAAAAGTTGATATTTGGAAGGTGTAAGTAGGTGCATTCTCTTCGCCAAATGATACAATACCAACCGCTTTAAGCTGAGGTGAAAATATCTCATTTTTTTTACTTTTTCATCTCAACACTATTGCGCCCCCCTCTATCACATATTTCAGAGTTGAGTTTAATGGAAAACGTAGGGGAGATAAGGAGCTCGTGATAGTTGCGCACATGGAATTGGGACGCCCCTTCATTGTGCGATGTAGGCAAGAACGCGTACTCTTGAGTCTAAGTAGTTACTGCCTCGCGCCTTGCGTAGAACTCGTTTCATTTGCGAAGATTCGTGCTCGTCTGTTGTGACGGCACTGTCCAGATACCTGACCTTCATAAACTGTATTTATCTCGGTTTTTAATGGATCACTTGTAAAAACGAAATTGCGCAAACATTTAACCCATTCAATTTCTTTACTATGAGACTACCTTCAGATAGGAACCTAAAAAATTTCATCAGCTGTTAAAAAGTTAACTGAATAATGAGGTACATTAAAAAATAATTGATTGAAACACTTACCTTAATTGCTACACAATTAATTGAGTGAGATGAAATTTTAATTTTTGCGAATAATCACAGACTCTTGTTGCTACCGTCATAGGAAACAAACAAAAACTTCGAGAAATCTTTATTCTGCTGCGCTGCTTTTCCGAAAAAGATAACAGATAACGCAGGACGTCCAGAAAAAGATCATAGCAGTTTGTCTCAGCTTTTGAATACTAATGTCAAAACGCTTTTAAGATTCCTAAGTTGCATAAAAGTAGAATATAAGATTTTTAAAGAACTCTCGAGAATCCCCAAAATCATTTTTGAGTTCTTCCCAGGATATCCAAAACAAATTTAAGTTAGATCCCCCTCTAGCGCTCAATTTTCTGTTATCTATTTGAATGCAGGGATAGTAGATAAAAGTTACTATAGGCATGAGAAAATGTAGTTTTTTGCAGTCAAGGCGTTTTTCAAAGTCTTTAAAATTTGTTTTTACACCTTCGAAAGTAATTTCTAATTTCTTCGGAGGTATTTGAAGAATCCTTGAAAGCTCTTGATTTTTACGGACCATGAACCGTATGAAACTTTTTGATTTTGATTTTTCAAATCTTGTCATGGTTCATACTGTAGGTATTGCTCTAAAAATGTGAACCCTCCATAAAACTTCCAAAATATGGGAAAAATTACTTGAAAATGAGAGGCGTCATTTTAGGCAGACTTTGGGGAGAGGAGTTGTTTATTCGCGTAGGGAAGGCGAAACGTAAAAATCCTCTGAAAAACCCTAAAATTTCAAAACTGACAAGGCACGGTTCATCTCAAAATGCGGCGGGAGAGGGGGAGGAGGGCAATACCCCCTTTTGCTCCTGCCCATCTCGATAGAGGCCTGTGCGTTTAAATATTTTGGAGATCCTTGATTTTCCGTGACTAAACTTAGAATAGCCCTTAAAAGTCCTCAATTTCAGTTTTGAGAAACTATGGAAAACCCAAGGCAGGGTTCATCTCAAAATGCGGTGGGGGAGAGGGGAGGGGGAGGGGGGAGAGCAATAACCCTTTTTGCTCCTGTTCATCTCGATAGAGACCTGTGTGTTTAAATATTTTGGACATCCTTGATGTTCCGTAACTAAACTTAGAAAATTCCTTAAAAGTCCTCAATTTCAGTTTTGAGAAACTATGAAGAACCCCAGGTAAGGTTTATCTCAAAATGCGGCGGGGGAGGGGGGAGGGAAATACCCCTTGTCGCTCCTGCTCATCTCGATGGAGGTTTGTGCGTTTAAATATTTTGGAGATCCTTGATTTTCCGTAACTAAACTTAGAAAAGCCCTTTAAAGTCCTCAATTCCGGTTTTGAGAAACTATGAAACCCCCCTAATCTGGGTATGCCTCCAACTTGTTGTTAGTTCTTGGCTCCTCAGATGCTCCTCTCGACAGAGGCCTGTGCGTTTAAATATTTTGGAGATCCTTGATTTTCCGTAACTCAACTTAAAAAAGCCCTTAAAAGTCCTCAATTCCGGTTTCGAGAAACTACGAAAACCCCCTTATCTGGGTATGCCTCCAACTTGTTGTTAGTTGTTGGCTCCTCGGATACTCATCTCGACAGAGGCCTGTGTGTTTAAATATTTTGGAGATCCTTGATTTTCCGTGACTAAACTTAGAAAATCCCTTAAAAGTCCTAAATTTCGGTTTTGAGAAAATGTGAAAACCCCCTAATCTGGGTATGCCTCCAACTTGTTGTTAGTTCTTGGCTCCTCAGATGCTCCTCTCGACAGAGGCCTGTGAGTTAAAATATTTCGGAGATCCTTGATTTTCCGTGACTAAACTTAGAAAAGCCCTTAAAAGTCCTAAATTCCGGTTTTGAGAAAATGTGAAAACCCCCTAATCTGGGTATACCTCCAACTTGTTGTTAGTTCTTGGCTCCTCGGAGCGGTAGACTGGGGCCGGTGGCGTGGCTGCGTCTGGCCAGTGGCACTCGCTGGCTGGAGCCTCAGCCCGCGCCCGCCCGAGCGCCCGAGCCGCCCGTATCGACTGGCTCTAGCGCGGCTCCCGGCGCGCTCGCGCGCCCCCCGCCCCGCCCGCCGCCGAGCCGAGTTCGGGGTGCAGATGCCACCCCTCAGTCGCCCCTCGTCTTCCGCTATGCGTCCCCGCGTCACGAGCGCCGAGCTCCATGGCCTCCCCGTCTAACCCGTCCTAACCTGCAAATCGCTCAAGTGACTCCCGCCAGTGATTTCCGGATCCGCGATTTCTGCGCCCACGCCCGGGTCTCGAGTCACACCCAGATGTCCAAGACACGCGTGTTCGCGAGTGAGAGTGGTGAGTGCTCCGCGGCGAGGATACGCTCCTAGGGGCAGGACTCCCTTCGCCTTCGCTCCAGTTCACGTTTTTGTCGGGTTTTTGGTTTTCGAGCCGAGACAATGATCAGGACGACTCCAGTTCGAGGTAATGACCAGCTGTGTTCTTTGATTCGTGGCATCGCCTCGTCATGGAACGATTGTTTATGTCTCCCACTAAATATGTGGCAATATTTTGAGGGTGAACCAGCATTCAAAATTTAGTAAAATACTCTACAAAAAGGAGACAAAAAGACAGAAAATCAAGGTTTCCAGGGACCAGACGTGATCTTTGATTCGTGGCATCGCTTCGTCTTAGAACGATTGTTTATGTCTCCCACTAAATATGTGGCAATATTCTGGGGGTGACTGTGTCTCCAAAATTTAAAATTGAGTACAATACTCTAAAAAAAAAAGAGACAGAAAATCCAGGTTTCCAGAGACCAGCCGTGATCTTTGATTCGTGGCATCTCCTCGTCGTAGAGCGATTGTTTATGTCTCCTACTAAACTCAAAAACACGAAAGAATGGGTAACCAAGGTTAAAAAACAACAAACACAAAGCCTGGGATATTTCAGGGTGATTTTAATCCTCCGTCAACCAGGAAACAAGAAATGTATGAAATAATACAAATCAAGACTCTTAGATCCCCATTCGTGATAACAAAAAGAAGAGAGGTTATCACAGAGGCTCTATGACAGAGATCCGCACCCAGGTGCCAAGATCGACGACTCAGTCCACTAAAAATATGGCACTAAATATAGCCAACTAAATATTTGACGATTATCTGGGGTGGTCCAGTATTCAAAAATGAGTAACATACTCTGGTGACATAAAGTCAAGGTTTTTGTCTTGATTTCACCGAGGGTTAGCCTCTTGTTTTGCCAAGGGTTATGTTATCAACTCTTCAAAGCAATATCCAGCGTAATATCGCTGTCTAAAAAGCAGTACTGAAATAGGATTTAATTTATATGCTCCTTGATCTTAGAAATTGTTCAGAACGACTTCAGTTGAAGGTTAAAACCAGCCTTGTTTTTTGCTTCGGGGCATTTCCTCCTTCAAGAACGATTGTTTATGTGTGCCACTGGAGCGATAATATCTGGTAACATTCTAGGGGGCACTAGTTTTCAAAAATGAAGAAAACACTCTTGTATAAGGATGACATAGTATTAAGATTTTTCATCTTGAATTTAGAAAAATTTTGTCTAGGATTAATCTTCTAGCTCTTTAAATCACTATCCTGCATACTATCATACTCTAAATTTCAGAACCTGAATCGGATTACTATCAGTTCCTGTGTTTTGATCTCAGAGCATGATCAAAATGGATTCAGTCCAAGGTCAAGACCGGCTGTGTTCTTTATTTGAAGCATTGCTTTGTACTAAAACAATTTTTCAAGCGTATAAATAAATGACTTTTAATATTCTAGAGTGCACTAAGCCCCCAAAAATGAGTAAAAATCTTTCAAAACAGGGTAACATGCGTTAAAATTAATGATTTATCCGATAATATTCTACGGACACACTCTAGAAACACTTTGTGTGAAAGTGTAATCAAAATCTAGGTGGTAAAACTCGAATTGGTCTTATTTTGGTTTTCGCTTTTCGTGCCCAATAAATTATTCAAAATACGTAAGTTCGAGGAAATTTTGCAAAAAATTAAAACAACTTAACACAAGGTGAAACAGTACTAATTTCCTCTTTTTTCCATCACTCACTTAACACAATAGAAGTCAAGATAGTGGAAAATTTGATCCGTCTTGTATTGTACTAAAATTGTTTAAAGTTTAATTGCTTTTTCGGGATAACATACTCTTGAAGAAAAGGTAACGAGAGAACAAGTTTTGTGTTGTGGGTTTTGGCAACTTTCTCGTGGATGATTCTGACAATCCTGTGAAGTAATATTGTTTAGGATCAAAATCAAAGCAACCTTGCTTCATTCGGATTTGTTCCGGCCTTATTTTTGATTTTCAAAAATAATCAAAACCACTCAAGTTTACAGTAATGATAGGCTTTCAAAGCCATTCTTGAGCATTTTTGGACTGAACGGGGTGTTGCTTTATTACCACCAAGATCAAAAGTGCTACAAGAACTTTAGAAACTAAAAAGCCACCGTTGTCATCTGAAATTTTAGGAAACAAAAAATCATGAATAATAAATATAAATTACAAAATTGTTTATGATATGAAGTTAGCCAAAAGAATGCACATAATAATAGTAATTGTTCCGTTCTTCCGAACGACCTTTGGTTTGAGGAATTAAGCAACTAGTATTGCTGTAGAGCCAAAATGCTATGATGCTATGATGTATTGTTATGGACCAAAACGCCTTGAATTCAATGCATTAACTGCTCATGTATTTTGCTCTTTTCGAGATATTACCGCGTGGTTGAACAATCTTTGGTGTAAGGTATCAAAGAAACGATCTTACCATCTGTTATCACCAACATGATGTGTAACTAATTTTATTTTATTATGTAAAAGTTTCTCGTTGATAAAAGGATTCTCACCGACCCCGAACGTCCCAGGCTTTTTTGGAGCTTCTTGGGTTAGACTTGGTTACCTACCCATCAGTTTACCTCCTGGTGTATACTCAAAATTAAGCAAAATACTGCAAATGATGAAATCATCCTCTTTGAGAATAAGCTGCTTATTTAACGTATGCCCTCCTTACTTAATTCATCTATCATACGTGTGTTGCTGACATAAGATCAATGTTTTCCTCTAGATTTTGACTAATTTGTCTCAGCTTATTCTGCAGACTATTTAGAGCCTTACTCGCCAAAATCTAGCTAATAAATTTTGAATTAAATGTTTTGATTAAAATTCAAGGTAATGGCAAAAATCAGCCGTGTTTTTTTTTATCATTATCTGAACAGCTTCCAAGAGGAACGATTTTTTGTATTGTGCCACGTAATTAGTTACGTTCCAGAGTGCACTAGTACTCAAACATGACTAACATACACTTGAAAGAGGATACCATCAATTAGGCGATGTTAGGCGAGGGAAAATACCTGTGTCCTACCGAACTCTTAATGAATGCAGGCCACTATTATGGGTTAAAAAAAAGAGTCGCATCTAGATTACCTAAAAAAAATTCTGTTTTGAAAAATTGTATAAGGATTGCACACATTCAAACATTGGTCTGAAAAAAACAAAAAGTTACTGGGAGGTTTGTGAGTACTTTTTATTGAAAGTTCAAGGAAAAGTATTTCCTCTTTCACCTAAAAAACTTCGCAGGAAGTCGCAGGACAACACTCATAAGTTCGCGATAAAATTTAAATTTCACCAGAGAACTTGCGAACGTCGAATTATTTTGACCGCGATTTTCCCTAGCAATATATTGATTCATCTCGAAATGTCATTTCAAAGCAGCATATCCAGACAGTGCTCTATTTTTAATGTTATCATCGGATATTTTTATTGATTGAGAAATGGAGCGCAAATAAAATAAAATCGTTTGATGCGAGCATCATACGACGCGGAGGTAGGGTAAACTTGTAAGAAATTTACTGTCGTTATGCCTCGCGTTAAACGCGTCGTAAGTTCGACGATCTCTGATCGTTCACCCTGTGCCTCCCCTCCCCTCCCCGGTGCAACTGTGTATTATAACAGGGTGGATGTTTGGACCCCCTCTCCCCTCCCAGGAGAGTAAATTGAGCTACCGTAGTGTCCCTGTAAATCAGCAATTTGCTCAAGTGATCGTAGAAATTGTTAAGATTGTTAAGAGTAAAATATATTTTGAAACCGCTACATTTTAAGATTCTCATTTTTAAAACACCTACCGTTTACGGATTAAAATAGCGGATCGTATTCGATCGGAATAATTTATCTCATTCTAATCGCCCAAGAAGGCACAGGTTGCAATAAATTGCAATCACGCTAAGTTAAATTATTATTTTTACTGCACCGCGGTATCGTGTATGTTGCCTGTATACTACTTGCATTAAAAATGACCTATATTTCTGATACACGGAATTCATTTCATTGTAATTTTAAATCGGCATTTAAAGACCAGCGAATGTAAACAAACTGCAAAATCGTGGTAAAAAATATTATAAATCATATCGCACCAAGTTACACTTTTGCAATGAAAATGAAAACACATATAACCAATAAAAATTGAAGCGCTGGTTGCAGAAAGAGCATTTCTTGATTGCCTTTTCTCAAAATCTCCGTCAACGTTTTATCCATAATAATCGAAGCAAATGCATGTAATTCGTTGTAACTTTTACAAATTATTCTTCTGAAAACGTAAAATCTCAGAAAATTCACCCACTAATTTCCTCTCTAAAAAGAAAATTAGCGCTGAAGATTCTGAAACACTGCAACTAAGATATGCCGCTTCTGCACCCAACGCCTAAATTGCTAAATTTTTAATTGCATTGTGCTACCTTGGCGATTGCGAAAATGTGTTTATTATGCAACCATCTCTCAACGCCCTTTGCACCTTTGCAACTCCTCCCTGCGACTGACATGACGGTATCCGGCCGACAACCGTGCGGTCGGTCGGATCATGCGCAGTTC